GCGAGGCACCACTGTAGATAAATGCTCCTACCACATACTTAAGCAGAGGTCTCCTCACCTTCTTCAGACGCTCCAACAAATGGCTCTTTTCCCTCTTCCAGCTGTGTGATGAGGACTGGTTTGGAAGTTTCTTTCAAATAAAGAGACAGGCTAGTGATTAGGAAATGTTCAGGCATCCGGGTCTAACCTTTATGGATCTATTTCTTATTGATCCTTATTAGTCCTTATTAGGGAAATCGGCATCCAGTCATAACAACAAAAGAAGCCTGTATCTCCTCAAACCAAATACAACTTCAGAACAAACACTAAGACACGTAAAGTGTACAATGATCCCATAAGGATTTCCCTGTTATTAGATAGCTCAAATAACAATGAATAACAGATATAGCATAAATATGGAGTGAGAAAAACATTAAAAGATATTCTAAGATCCAGATGAAGAAACTGGCCTGTCTTGAAAAAAGCAGGAAAGGGAGACTTCGCTTAGGGAGGTCATGGGATCTAGCACTGAAACGATGAGAAGCATTGACATATTGCATGTGTTTCCAATGTTGGACTGAAGTTATCTCCACCTCTCCCCCCCAAAAAAAAACCTCAACAAAATTTACCACTAAGGCAAAAAAGAAAAAGGGTTTGTACAAAACTCATGGGAGACACATTTTTAAAAGGCAAAGCGTACTCCTTGGAATCTTTGTCAACTTTAATTAAATTCTTTATATTCAATCCATTACATCAAGCTCTTTCGACCTTGGTAACTGCGCTCATAATCTCAAGATTAGATCACTGTAATGCGCTCTACGTGGGGCTACCTTTGAGGCTGATGTGGAAAATCCAAGTGGTGTAAAATGCGGCGGCCAGACTCCTCAGCGGAGTGAGAAAATATCATCATATTTCTCCTATTCTGGCCGCATTGCACTGGCTGCCCATTCAGTTCCGCATTGACTTCAAAGTTTTATGCTTACTTATAAAGCCCTAAACGGTTTAGGGCCTCGATATTTGATGGAACGCCTTCTCCCACCAAGATCTACCCGTATCACTCGATCGAGTCAGGAGGTGAGGCTGAGGAGCCTGACGCCGAGGGAGGCCCGGAAGGAAAAAACAAGAAACCGGGCCTTCCTCCAGAGAGTTGTGTGGCACCTTCGCTGGGTATTTTTAAAAACCCATTAAAAACTTGGATGTTTAAGCAGGCGTTCCCCCCAGTTAATACTTACCTTTCCCTTTTTAATTTACCTTTTGTTATTTCCTTTCCATCTTGAAGAATTTGTTCATTGATGATTTTTTTTTCTTTTTTGTTTATACTTATATGTTGTTTTTATGTGTCTGGAAGCTGCCTAGAGTGTTTGCAAGACCAGATAGGCGGGATATAAATAAAATAAATAAATAAAACCATGTTTTTGCCCCCATGTAATGTAGCGGAATTCCAGAAGGCAAAGCAGTTAATTGATGCTAATTTTGAATCCCCTGGACTGCAAAGAGAACAAACCTATCCATTTTGAAGGAAATCAACCCTGAGTGCTCACTGGAAGGACAGATCCTGAAGCTGAAGCTCCAGTACTTTGGCCATCTCATGAGAAGAAAAGACCCGGATGTTGGGAAAGTGTGAGGGCAAGAGGAGAAGGGGACGACAGAGGACGAGATGGTTGGACAGTGTCATCAAAGTGACCAACATGAATCTGACCTAACTCCGGGAGGCAGTGGAAGACAGGAGGGCCTAGCGTTCTCTGGTCCATGGGGTCACGAAGAGTCTGACAAAACTGAATGACTAAACAACAACAATTTTGAGGTATTGGTCGTGTGACCAGGACTGCAACCAGTGCCTCCTTAATTAGCCACTATGACTTCTGTGACTTCACTGCTGCAGATGGAAAACACACATACACACAGAGAGACATATAAAATAAGGTTTCAACAAATGAGTTTTATTCTGGTTTTGCCCTTGAAGACACATCGCTGTGAACCACCAAGGGTTATGTTTCATTGACCCTCGGGTAAGAACTCATATGAAAGGCTATGAAGCACCCGTAAAACCTCTGCCAGATGGCAAAGGGGAAAAAAGGAGGCAACAGGAGCAGCAAAAAAGAGAAAATATTTTTATGCCACCATCATTGTTATAAAGTCAGAAAAATAATAAACATTCATAAAGGCCTATACTCCACTTAAACTCCTAGCATCTACCCATTTAGTTATTCAGCATCCATGTACAAACAATAAGCTGTGCACACTTTGCACAATTAAAAAGTACTCTTGAAAGTGTCTGAGTCGGCCACCCTGGTCCCTTCTGCTTTCCACATGTAAGCCACTGCGTCCACACTAGCATCTACCATACCAAAAAGCAAAGCAAAGCGTGCTGCTTATATACTGTCCCGTAGCACTTCAAGCACTCTTTGGGCGGTTTACAAGTTAATTATGCAGGCTACACATTGCCCCCCCAGGAAGCTGGGTACTCATTTTACCGACCTCGGAAGGATAGAAGGCAGAGTCAACCTTGAGCCAGCTTCCTGGGATTGAACCCCAGGTCGTGAGCACAGTTTTGGCTGCAGTACAGCGATTTAACCACTGCGCCATGAGGCTCAAAATGACCCAGAGCCCTAAGGGATCCAGTATAAGTGGTTAGCCTGCGTCTCTTTACCTCAGAGAAGGAAATGATCACAAATATAAAGTCATCCTTTATGCACTTATCAGTGAAAGGAAAGGTGCCCTTACCCAGAGAAGACACCATACTAAAGTTCTCCAGCATGACCTCCTTGTACAGGGCTTTTTGGTCTAGATTCAGTCGATCCCATTCTCGCTGGGTGAAATACTACCTCATCACATCAAAGGACACCAGGTCCTGGAAGAAAAATACGTTCTTTATTCAAAAAGGACACAAAATTGGTATTTTATTTTATTGTTGAAGTGTTCAAGACTTCATGTCAGAAATTCAGTACAGTTCATGGCCTAGTGATCAGTTTGCAGCACAAAAAAGTATAAAAGAAAATATTTTATTTCCAGCAGGTACTTTTAAAATATCAGCACCATGTGAATTCATTATCCTCATGATTTCTTATTTGTCCATCGTTGCTCATAACAAGCGCCAGAGGAGAGCTGGCCAGCTGGACAGTGGCAGTGGTTAAAGATGCTTCGCTGAAAGAGAGTTGTGTCCAAATCCCTCTAAAACAGGGGTTCCCAACTCAGGGTCCCCAGATGTCCTTGGACTACCACTCCCAGAAATCCTGGCCAGCACAGCGAGTAGTGAAGGCTTCTGGAAGTTTTAGTTCAAGAACATCTGGGACCAAAGGTTGAAAATCACTGCTCTAAAAGAAGCAGCTTTATGCAATGACCATTAAACAGAACACTCACCTAAACAACAATGAACCATGTCTTTTCTTAAGTAAGATTTTAGAGTACAATCATATCCATTCTAATATTGTTTCTAGCTCCCATATTGTGCACTTCAATGGTGAAAGACATCTTGATCTTTTTTAAAAGAAAAAAAATGTCCTGATGTATTTAAATCTGAGGAAGAAATATTACCGCCATCACCTTTTAGATGCTAAACCTGAAATACAGCTAAGAGGCTGATAGACTGTTCCCTTCGTCTCTCTTGTTGACTTACCTGAGGTGGCTGCATGGTTATTCTTTCCTCTCCACCACCAAGAAGCAGCAATCCGGAGTCTGTCTCAGATGTCATTTTATTGTCTGTGGTGAAGAAAAGGGAGATACGGGCTACTTGAGTTCTCATTCAACAACTTGCATAATGCCCTTTATGGCCTGCGAAGGTTTGTCGTTCAGCCTGCCAGATTCTCTTCTAGGTTCAAACCCCGCTTAAGCCCAAAGATCTGATCTCCAGTCAGCAACAGAGATCAGCCATTTCTCCTCCACTGCTGCTTTTTCTTCCAGGACCTGGTGTCCTTTGATGAGGTAGCAATGTATTTCGCCCAACGAGAATGGGATCAGCTGAATCCACAACAGGATTCTAGCCTTCAATTCTAGTGCAAAGCTTTCCTCTCTCTGCTGCTACACAACATGATTTTAGCCATAGACTCTAGAGCAGATTCGTCCATGAAGTTTCCTTCTAGGGAAACCAGAAGCAGAGGACAAACCATGTGAGAAGTTTTCTTGGTTTTGAGTACAGCTAGGCATACTTGGGCACAGCGCAGTGTGGAGAAAATAAACACAGGAAGCTGAATATCCAGTTCTGCTTTATCAAAAAAATTCTATTTGGGGAACTACAAGCAGTGGGAGCTCTGATATATATTTTATAGGCTTCTAGGAGCAACAATTCATCCATTTTTGCTGAGGAACCTCATTTTGCTAACAGAGGCTGTGTGTGAGTGTGTGTGTGTGTGCAAAAAGAGCTGCAGCGCACACTTTGCCCCATGCTAGCATAAAACTACAACACAAAGGGGCCTCTAAGAACATGCTCGGCACAGCTCAACTTTATATAACTTCGTCTGATTTAAGTTATCAGGTGTCAACCTTAGGTCACCTTTTCTGTTTTAGTTTGCTGTGCTATGCATTTTGATTAAAAAACAAACATTTTAGTGGTTGTATGCTTTGCCTAATTGCATAAACCACCTAGTGTTCTAATTAAGCAGAGTGGTCTATATAACATCAATCAATCAGGGCAGTTCTCCCTCCACAGGTGGCTTTCTTCTTGTTCCTCTCCTGGTCGCCCCCTCCCCTCCAGTGCCAAACTTTCAGGAATTTAGGAAGAAAGCAGGTTTTTGTTGCTACCCATGAGAACCAGAAGCAGCTTCGGGCGAATCCCCTGCAGGCGCAACAGTAGGTCCCCGAATCTCCTAAGGTTCAGGAAACCCTCCTCTTGTTTCTGGGAGCAGGGAGATAAAGAGAGAGCTTCCTTCCTCCCCTCCCCCCGCAAAAATCACCTAGACAATTATTTTTTAAAAATTAAACTTTCACCCCCTTCCTCCTCTCCGCCTAAATTCCTTGACAACTGGGTGGATCTGCAAAAGATGCAAGACTTCAAAGGGGATCCTGCAGAGGATCCTGACCTACCTTTTTGTATCTGGATTGCAGGGCATCCCCCCCACCCTCCGTCCCTCCCCCATGAATTGCAACGGAAAGATGGGGAAGGGAGCCGCACCCCCCAAACCCTCCCACAAAATGTCAAGGATTTGGCGACAGGAAAAATGTGCAGAATTATTGAAGACACTTACAAGTTCTTCTTCTTTTGCAAGACGGCTGTATTTACAATATTTACAAGTATTTACAGGCAGGCATCACATCAGCATGGCAGGAACTCTTTACACAAACGGACATAGTGGCTGGCAGGAAATGGTGGAGAAAGAAGAGAAGGATACAAAGACACTGTTCACTAATATACATATACAGTACATGGCATCTCTAGTCCAATCAGAAGACACATGACTTCATCTTGTGCACCTGGTGTCTTCTTATTTCCAGACATTGCATCATCTTCGGAGTGACTCAGCATACACACATCTGTGCACAATGGCAGCTCGTTAATAATACATTTATTCCAGGTTCGGGCCTATAAAATTTCTATATTCTGACACCCTTCCTAATTTTTTCATGCCTGAACAAAACATATTCCCAACTCTTTTATACATTTCTGGTGTTTCTGTGTACTTAAAGGCTTAGTCAATATGTCAGACATTTGGTCACCTTCTTCCCTCCCGCCCTCCGTCACACCTTCACCTCTTCGCATCCGCCTCCCCTTTC